TAAAATTACGTTAATTTCACGTAATGATTTTCACCATTTCTTCATTCGTTAAAACGTATACGTTAAAATTACGTCAATTTAACGTTATCAATTTTCCCTTTAAATAATTCGTTAAAAATACGTACTTAAAATACGTTATTTTAACGTGTACATTTTATCCATTTTTTGACCGTTTTTTAAAAACGTGTTATTAACGAAAAATTGACGTTTTGTTGCATAGTTATATTTACGTAAATTGTTTGGGATTATAAACGTAAATTTAGTGGTAAAAATGTTTCAAGCAAAAATGATGAACCTGTGAGAGCCCAAGAAAGATAATCTTTTACGTCTCACTTGAATTCGAATAAACTGAACATTGCAGATTTTAATTACAATTCATATTTAATTTTTAATACTTATAATTATTTTTGTTTTATTAAACTGGTTATAAATATTTGCTTGTTGATAATATTGAGTCGGCTCATTATCAGTAACTGACAAGGGAAATATGTGTTTTAATTCTTGTATAACTAAACTATGATGAAAATTAAGAAATTTTCCAAAATACTGAATAAAGTAAAAATTTTCCACAACTTGACATGCAACGAACATAACGTATAAACACATTATACTTAAATTCAAATTATCTCTGTCCAGAACAAGAGTCGTGGTGTAGTGGTTACAGCGTTCGCCTCAAGGGTACGGCGTCCTAGGTTCGAGCCTACTCTAGAGTGGGACGTTAATATGCGAATACTAATAATTATTATTATTCAAAGATCTTAATTTAAAAAATTTATTTTTTGTTATTATGTAAAAATTGATTCACTATTTTTTTATATTGCAATTATCGCTCGCCATACGAGTTTATAAAAAATAATTTATCTTTTTCTTCGTGCGCCGCCAAATTTTGAAATCGTTAAAAGTGTGCCGCGACAAGAAAGAGATTGAGAATCACTGCTCTATTCACTCTTTAGCCCTGCATTTACTGCTAAAGAGAAACTTTAGTCGTTCACAAGGAAATCGGCATTCCAAGACTTCAAGAAATCGCCCTCATGCTCTCGACAATTTCTTGCTACATTGCTGCTGATGCCCGGGAATCTTGTTTCGTTCATATAAAATCCGATTCCCCTGTTAAGAATCTGAGTTCCTTACTATCTCTCCATAGAGCATGGAAATGCCCCAAGGAATGCCAAATGCATGGAAATGTCAATTTAACCCAAGTCTGCCCCTTTTGGCCGCAGCTGTTTCCCCCCTTTATTTTCCATTTTTGTTGGTAACTTCACATTTTATATTTCAAATCACTTTGTTTTTCCTTATTCCAGTCTTGAGTGCAAACGCTTATTTTTGAGTGCTTGAAACATGATGACCTTTATTTCCATTTTCAAGTATCTTAATCAAGTATGTCAGTCAAGTATAACATAAAATATATGGTGTCCAGTTAAGTCTCAGGGAATAAAGCACTCACCTCTCAATAAGGTGACCCGGTTTCAAATACAAAAATTTTTTTTTACAAAAATCATATGTTGACAAGCGGAAAGGAGAATTGGAAAGATTTAAGTACTACTCTTATAATAATTATGATATTGTCGAAAGATGGAGTAAAATAAAAAATGGTAAGAAGAAGTGGAACTGTTGAAGCGAAAAGATTAATAAGTAAAAAGGAAAAAAAAAAGAGATTGAACAAATAAGCAAAGGAAAAGCAAAAACCAAAATAAACCAACCTTCATTAAAATTAATTTGATGCGAAAAATGTAGCAAATTACTCAAGTAAATTAAAAATAAAATTCATCTTAATTCGAACCATAATGGTGACCTAAAATATCCTCAGTGGTAGAACGATCGTGTATTAGAGTCCCCTTCCCGACAAGCTAGCCGTGAGAAGTTTTCACGGTTTTTTTTTTCCTCGTAGCGCAAATGCGGTTTCGTTTCTTTGGAAAACTCCTTTACGAGGGAGAATTTCAATCAATACTTTATCTAGGAGTTCTATTGTCTTTTGGATTGTTCCGAAATTACAAGGCTACGGAGTTAAAAATTGGTAGTCGAAAACTCAAAATTGAGTCGGCTGCTCAACGACGGGTATGAAATATTTAAAAAAAACGTATATCTTAATCTACGTATATTGTTTATTAAAATTTTCTCAACAATTTCACTTCTTTTGATTAATACTACCACAATTAATTAAATTTAAGTTGTTTTTTGAAATTCATAGAATAGCTACCACTCATTCTAAATACAAAATCTTACCTGCAGAAGGTAAATTTTATTGTTCAATAAACCCCATTCTATATCTCTTGATGATCGGTAAAACTTCTCAACCTGAAATTAATGCAAATTTACGATTGATAAGAACATTTTGCTAATCGTTGGGTAAAATACCTGTTTATATGAATAGGTTAAAATTAAATTCCTATTATTTAAAAAAAAAAATTGAAACAGAATACACACTCTTATTGCCAACTTTCCAAGATTGATCGATGTTTCTTCGTTTATGCAAGCTGAAGTTTTGGAATCATCTGGTAAATCTTCAACTTCTGTTCCACCAGACTCTAAAGTAAAAACAATCAACGATTAACTTCTGCCTCATAGGCGTGCTCAAGATTCCATGTCTCTTAATTGCCTGGCAGTTTGTTAAAAATATAGTTTTTACCATTTTTTCTACGTTTATATATTTTGCTTAAACAACTGCATACACCAAAATTTTTTACTGAAAATTAAAGCTCTCGATCAGGATACGCTTTGTGACCTAGCACTGTGCTGAGTTGTCATTGCTGTAAGAAAATATAACTGCTGTAATGTTTAAAAGATGTAAAATCTATGTTTTTATATTCAGGCATTTATCCTAAAGCCAAAAGCTAAATATATGTATTAACCCTTTGCTTACCATTTGTACCATCCATGTGATGTACCATTTGTACCATCACATGTAGTCCACATATTGTACCAGCCGTAAGCAAAAGATTAATGCACGAAAAAGAATAGTCAATGCAGCATTTAGAAGCAAAATTGTATAAAAAAAATGAGCTACAGTGTAAACTCATACCCTCCCTCGGTTTCAGGTAGTGACTCATTTGTGTGATCTTTCTAATAGTCTTCAGCTTTATAAAGGAAATACAGGGGTAGGACAAAAATATGGAAACACATTTATATCAACTCTATGGAAAGAAATTTTATGTTATCATCCAAAATTTTGAATATTTTACACTGTAAAACTGTTAGCTCAATTTGAAAAAACGTGCTTGACTCTACCAGAAGTGGGGTCACTTTTTAGTCATGTAAAATTTGCAACGACTAAAATGAGCGTAAGGAAGTTAAAAGCTTTTCTTCCCTTTTTCTATACCGCTATCATTTAAAAAAGTATTCTAATATAAATATTGCAATCCTATGGAATGAAATTAAATTAACTTGTATTAAAACTAGAAAGACACTATTAAATTTCTCTATTCATTTTCGACCTTCCGAACTTCGCACGGTTAGAAAAAGACGCCATTTCGAAAAGCGTCAAGCATGATTTTTCTATCTATGCGAACAGTTTTGCCATGTTTTGCCACTGTCCAAAACATTATCTTCTAAAGGAAAGATTGTTCACATAGATTGGTTATAGAGGTGTTTCTATATTTTAGTCCTTCCCCCGGTATGTTGCCAATGTAATATAATATATCAATAATAGATTAGGCAATGTTACATAATATATAGCTAAATATAAAATTAATATTCTATATATAATTAATTAAATCCAACTGTATGGATAACCTATTTCGATACATTTCATAAATCAAAAAGTTTTAAGAAAATGAAGACTACCAAAAAGAATTGTAATAATTGTAATTGTTTTCTGTAATTGTAAGTAGTATACAATACAGAAAAGTTTAAGTTAAAATATATTAGCAGCCTAAATTTAGTATTTTTGTATGAAATTTGTCACGTTTTATAAAACTTCATTGGCATGACTTCGCTATTTAAAAAAAGTTGATAAAACATTTTATTAAAAAAACATTAAACCTTTTCTTTGAAAACATTTATAGTCATAATTTCCCTTTATTCGTCATTTGATTGGGCATAATGGTTTCTAGTCCAATTGATCCATGAAGTGAGTTATAATATTGAGATTTAAACTGTAACATCTTTTTTCCGTTGCAAAAGTCTAAAAAATCAGTCTGAAAAGTAATATTTTTAAAGCATTGTGCAAAGTTTTCCTCAAGTTTCACGGAATGAATCTTACCTTTTAAAACAATTCTTTGATGCTTAGAGCCAACTGTTACAGATTTCACTTTTAATTCATCATTATCAGATCGTTCCAGCATAATTGTATCCGGCTCAACTGATCCAGAAACAACAGTCTGAAAAACAGGGAAAATTATTTATTATCTATTTATTATTATTTATTTTTAATTATTTATTATCTATTTAACAGGAAAATTATTCAAAAATATTGATGGAGACATTCAAATTCTGTTATAAATTATTTAGCTAAAGCTAGAAATTTAACTTTAAGTTAGCAATAACTAGTTTAACTTAAATAAAGTAAGGCCTGAAATAGCTTAAATTTCTAAGTTCAAAACTAATTTTAAAGATTATTTACATAAAAATTATTGGTAAATTCGAATTATTACTCGGAGGAATATTAAAGTTACGATGGAACTTTAATATTCCTCTTTACTTTTTTCAGGGCAGCTTACGTCCTTGAAATGCATAAAATAATCTCTAAAATGATGAGTTACCTCTCCTAAACCATAATTAGCTGTTATTGTGATAACATCCGGGTTATTATTAACAGGATCACAAGTGAAGATAACTCCTGCTACTTCACAAGCAACCATCTCTTGTATAACAACAGCCATTGGTGAATTCAAAATCTGCCCATTCTGCCTGCAAAGAAAAATACCGAAATATTTGAATTCAAACAAATATCATTTCAAAAAGTACAAATGAAGTTAAGTAGGAACAGTGAGCAAAATAAAAACAAATCAAATAATTCTCTTTTGACTTAATAATCGGAACTGTGCTTGCTAAACATGCAATTATAACTGATATCCATGGGTCCAACTATGTGCGACAATATATTTCTTATTGGCAACTTAACGTTTTCTGTTTCAAATTTATTTTTATTTTCATATTTAGGACTAACGAGTATTGAAAATGTTTGCCTATTTTTGAACGATAGAAACACTCTTAAATTTTTCTACCTATTTTACTTTTGAAGAGTATGTCTTTTCGTTCAGTCTCTTGGGATTACTCATTTAACATAAAGAGTATATTGTAGCTCATGAAAATCCGATCATTAGATTAAAAAAATTATTTGGGTGTTCTGTTTTTATTTTGCTCGCTGCTAACTTTGTTTATAATTATATGACATTAATTTCTTACTTCTTATATTCAATGGCTATGTGCCCAAACTGTGAAGCCCAGCATTTCTTGAGAGCATGAAATATCTGCACATAAAAACATAATATAGATAGTTAGATAAATTAATTTACATTCGTCAAAATTCAAACGTTTATTTATTTATTGATCAACATACATTTGCAAGGACAGATAGCACAATACTGTCTTATTTCGAAACAATTACTCGTCCGTTATTACCATACATATGAATAATTGAGAAGATATATATTCAGTAGTACAATTATTCGACGAAATGATATTTCAAATTGAAGTTGTAGCTATAGTAGCAAGTTTGCCCACGCTTTTTTAAAATTTTACCTACCGTTTCTATAAATTTTGACCATTAACAATTGCATTATATTTTTGGAAAAACTACTGCAAAAGTTTTCTGCATTCAATGCGTAAAGTGTTGCCGATAAGCTTTTTTTAAATTTCGCTTATTTTAATGTATTTACTCTGTTTTTCACTACTACTGGCAAAACTCTTTTGAAAAATCCGAACAATAACGCTTTTTCCTAAATAACAATTACCGAAGCTTGCTTTCTTAAAAAATAGTTTTACTTTAATATTGTTTCAATAATAGTATAATATTATATAATTTTACATACACTTATATACAGGGTTCCCGCGGTCCTTGAAAAATTTAAAAAGTGGTAGCAAATTTAGGGTGGAGCTACAATATACTATTTTATTTTAATAAACTTTTTTATCGTTAAGTGCTGAAATTTTCGTGCATATATATATTTTTTAGAAAACAATTTTTAGTGGTGGCTACACAGAAATAAAAATGTCGAAATTTCTTTTATTTTTATCACCACTTTTTAAAATTCTCAAGGACCGTGGGAACCCTGATATAGTTTTATATATACTTTAATATAGTTTTATAATGGTTTTACTTAATATATAGCAACTTAACATTATTGATAGCAATAAAAATTTGCTTTACATTACCTCTTGTAAGCCTTGTACTCCTAAATATGTGTCCATTTGACCAGCTGCTGACATGACATCGGTGTCCTCCCCTGAAAACAAAATTATTATCATAGATCAAATGCTAAAATAGATTCCTTTAAAAATATCACAAAATTTTAAAGAAAGAACTGCAAATAGTTTTGTAAATGTTGTAGGGTATATTTATAAAACTGAATGCTTAAAGGGTTATAATATAACTTCGTGGGGATGCTCTTACTAGGAAAACTTACGAAAAGTCACCCACCAAGTTTGTTGATTTTCAGAAAATGTTTCTATGTTATATAGGGACTCAGTTGGTCTTTTTATAGTTCAATTCATCGACCCCACGGCTGTGTTCCACTCGCATGCTGTAGTGCCAATGAATTGTAGCACAGCATGCGAGTGGATCACAGCGTTTAATTGTCGTGTTTTAAACTGCGAGTGTTAATTTGAGATTAAGTCAATGTAGTGCATTTAGCGCGGAGAAGAGTAAGGACTGGAAAGAAAATAATTTCATTTTCGCATGTTTTCAAGAAAATTAAAACATCCATTACCACGAATTTTTTAACACTTATAACAAATGTTTGGGACTGTTTTAGTATTGAATTGTCTATAGCACCAGAAAGTACTAATTTAAAGTTAAAACGTCAAGATGGATGAGAATGCCTCAGGTGCCCAGATAAATGTTAACAATGATTATTTTATTCTATTATTGGCATTATATCATTTTCTAGGATCTATTATCGTCATCTAAACATTTGATGACGATAATAGTCTATAATTTAAACTAATAATATGTTATTTTACACTTCACAAGAACCAACTGGAAATGAAATAGTATTACCACTAGTTTATTCTTGTTCCCACCTTACTTTCAAATCTACTTCAATCCGCCACCAGTTCTTCATAACACTAGCTTATTATCTTAACTATACTTGTGCCATATCAGCTCAAATATTTTATATCATAGATGTCAATCCGAATGTCCTGACTCACTAAAATTTTCAAAGTGGAAGCAAAATAGCATTTTAGGTAATATGAATTTGTTTCATTGTGCCATTACTTAACCCTTTTCCTTAGCGTTGCCAGTTTGGCAACACTATTTCAACTAATGTTATAAAACACTAGAAATGTGAAACTAAAAGGTTTTTAACGTTTATCATCCACTATTCTTAAAATAAAGAAGAGCTAAGGTATGTTGCTTCACTCAGAATGTATTATCTAAGATCGCGCAAGCTAAAGTCTTGCTTGACTTAAGTTTTCATTCGAAATTTGCTGTTCTAAAAAGGATAAAAAAATCATCACGGCTTGATTATATGGGTGACGTACTTTGTACAACTAAATAAGATTCTTTTCACAACCTTTAAATATTTACTTTATTTTCTTCACATATAGAGGGAACAGTCGGCAAATAATTCTGTTAGGTTAAAAAACATTTAGCTAAAAAAGAGCGAATTCTAAAAGAAATAAAAATAAACAACTTTAAAGAATAAAATGCTGTTGCCAGATGTAGAATTTTTTAAAAGCTAACTTAGAAATGACAAACCTAACGATGTTAACAAAATGACGTTGAAGGCGCAACTAGATCAAAATTATACAAGCGCAACTAGATCAAAATTATGATACCTGAGCGCTTGACGTAACAATGGTTTTATAGTTTTATTTAAAATACTTATCTTTACGAATGGCTGTCAAAATAATTACAAATCAAATTTGTTTAATCAAAAGCAAAATGGTAAATTGTCAAATATTATATATACTCATGAAAAATATCTTGTAAAGATTTGACATGTAAGCCTTCTTTGGTTTAGATTACTTTAAATTCAGGTACACAAATGTATAGTTAAGACATTCGTTCGGACGAAAAACTTGTTAACGATAAAACGTGATGAAGGAAATTAATTAAATTATGTTATTCCGACCGCTAACAAAATGTTATAGAATAATAACTACCATTTGCTTCTTGTTCCTAAGATTGTCGCAATTCTTAAACAAAAAATATACTTTAACCCCTTGGGGACGGGTGATTCAGAAATGCATTCGTACAAAATCAGAATCAGGATGTAATTAAATAAAAAACGGTAACTTAAATGTAGTCGTTTCTAATTTGACAGACTTACTTTGCTTATATCTTAATTATTGTTAGTTTAATCATACATATAATCAATGTTAATTCAAAGTATAACTAAATAGTTTTATTTTGAACAAAGTAACGGTGAATAAAATAAATCAAGCAATTATAACTCCGCTCAAAAATAAACTGTGCTAAAGAATTACTTTGATTACCAGCTTTATCTTTTTACCCTAGTTGATACGGTTTCATGCTGTCACGTATTTGTGACAGTCGGCGCGAAAGGGTTAATGAAATCAAAACTTTAATTTAAAATTTTGATTCCCGGAATTTTATGCCCAACTCAAGCTTACCACCCTGAAAATTTTGTAAGTGGTCTCATAGTTTCATTTTCGAACAGAAGACGTTAACCTCTTCGAGACGGGTGAGTCATACATGCATTCTGAGGGTGTCGATAATCAGGGTAAAAAAACGATAAAACTGGTAACCAAACTATTTTTACAACAGCTCAGTTGTGTGCGGGGTTACAATAGTTTTCTTTACTTAATTCACCACTACTTAGTTCAAATCAAAAATTGTCTTGTTACCCTTTTAACACACTAGGTTTGCATGTGTTAGATGTAAAGCGAAAGCAAAAATAAGTCTGTCAAACTAGTTTTCCCCTAACTTACTGCTTTTTATTTCATACCATTCTGATTCTGATTCCGCACGAATACATTTATGACTCACCCGTCCCGAAAAGGTTAAAGGTTTGTTGTAAAACAGTCTAAGTTTATGCCATGAGAGGTAAACTATACTTAATCGCACTTTTTCATAGTTATATCAGGCATATTTACATTGCTAAAGTTAACACGTTTTATGCCATGGGGGTCACCGGTGAAGCCAAGATTATTAGAAACACATAATACGAGTAAATTTTTAATTTTTTATATTATCGTTACTAAAATGGTTTGAAGAAATTAATGGAATATAGAACACTCAAAAATAATTTTATTTATGTACACAGAGATGCCACCCTTGCGCCGGACAATGAATAAATATTTTCAAGTGGTAGTTTATTAATTGTGATTCTTGGTTTAATAAATTCAATTTAGTAGGTTTTCATCCACCACTATTTCTAAAAAATTCGTAGGCTTATATACTTCCCCACTTTGTTCAGATATGATAACTCTCTCACCAAACCACAACTACAGCTAAACCACCATCACCTTTTTGATAAAGACATTATTCCAGGCGCCTACGGGCATTATTACAGATGAAGAAGTGAAGTGTCCGCTTCGCGGACAGGTACTTTGTACAGTCCGCAAAAAAAAAAGATAT